AAGTGGCTTAAAGTAGTTGAAGGTTTAGGTAAAACTAAACACAAAGGGCTGTGGGGGAAAATTTAGCATAACTTTAAAGGGTGAATTGCTTTTTTATTTTTTAAATTGGATTCAAGTTGAACTTACACATATAAGGCAGATTTTCCCATCTTCCTTTTGCCCTTTTATGAATTCAGTATGTTCAGAATGATTTCTATCACCTCTGTAAAATTTCTTGGTTTTAACTTTACGGTAGTGGCTTACAGTTTAAAAAACAAAGAAAATACAAATCTCTGTTTTGGGATGAAGCATTTAACTTACACTTTTTAGCTGGGGAAATACACATGAAACAATCTCCTGTTTTTTTTTTTTTAAAAAAAAACTTGTCATAAAGATCTTCTCTTGTGCCTTTGTGTTTGAGAGCAATTATGTTATTTCAGATTTTATACAAAGATGGACAATAAGAGAGAGAAACGAAATCATCAAGAGGATGAAGAAAGTGTGGAAGACGTAGATGATGATGAGTTCGAAAGAGCGTTGGGTAAGGTTACAGTCTTCCGTGAAGTAGCTGTCCCAGTATTTTGTGCTTATATGAATTATTAATGTATCCTTCACTAGTTTGTGTTGTATAAAAGAACCAAATACAGTCATATGAAAGTAGAAGAAAACTGTCTTTGCAATTCCTATTCCTACTATAGTCAGCAGGTCATACTGTCCCCTCACATGAGACAGGCCAGATGGATGGCTGTCTTGTAGAAAGTTTCTCTCTCACTACTCCAGTAGTGTTCAGCTTGTTCAGCTCAGGCTGGAAGTTTTCCGAGTTTGAATATAAACTCGTAAATAGCAGTTTGTGCCCTTTTGTTCTTTTCCTAATGTAGCCTAAGCATTAAATAACACTTATAATTTTGTATAACGTTTTTTATAGAATTCAGAGCTCCCATACTGGGGGTATTCCTTAGTGACATGATTAATATGGTCCTAGTTATGAGAAGAACCTGTCACTAATTGTATTTACCTTTTAATTGTTAGTATTTCTAATACATAAACTGTCTCTGAGAATTTTTGACATTAAATTGAGATGCTTAAATTAAAGGTAGTCTAACGTTAGATTTTACTCTCTGAATCAGACCAGTTCTAATTTTTCAGATCTCGTTTTTACCACTTTTTTTTTTTAAGAGCAATTTATTCCGAAGTGAATCTGATGATAGGAGCTTTTGCTCCCTGAAATCAGGGCCCTTTGTTATTGAAGCAGATGTTATTAACTAGTCAGGAAAATGACACCTAAAATAATGTATTTTGCATAGACTTCACTTTTTTTTTATTTCTTTTAGTAAAAAGTTTTGTTTTCTTTGAATTTCCCCCCCCAGATGCATTTGAAGCTGATGATAGTGCTGTTGATGTTAGCCAGGATGACCTTGATTTTGCTGGGTAAGACCTTGAGACAATTCTTTCATCTCTTGTTTTAATACCCATATAGAGTTTTACTTTGAGAAACTGGATAGAGGTTTTTCAGAAAGACTGTGCATATCACTTTGCAAAAAAAAAAAAAAAAAAGAAAAGGCAATAGCAGTTGAATGCTGGGTAATCCTGCTTTTCTGCATCCCTTGGAATGGGGCATCATGATCCTGCGGTGCTTACAGTACATTGGCTTGAAGCGTGAGACCTGTAGTATTTATCTATACAATGCGGTGACCCAGTAAGCAAAGTGCAATCTTACTTGGTTTTCATCATCTCAGGTTTCTGTTTGAGAATCACCAAGTACAAAAGAAAGCAGAATGAGGCATAATGGTACTACTCTAAGGATTGGTTGTAACTGGACCTAACTGAGTGATAAACTTTGTGGGATCCAGAATCATACAGCTCAGTTTTCAGGAGGTCAGCAGTTACATTACTGATTAAGTAGCCTTTTCTTTACTTAAACCATCTGCAATGCAACTTTAAAATCAACACAGAAACTTTATTTTTCAAGACATTTTTATGATCCAGACTAGTGTGTGTATTAAAAAAAAAAATAGGAGACACAAAACAACCATGCACCTAGTGTCTGAAGAGCAATGTTTACTTTCTGGAAAGAAAAGAATATAGGTGTCATCCTCATTTAGAAATACCTGCGTGTTATGTGTTTTTTACAAAGACTTTGTGAAAAGGAGCAGAGACACATAGGGAGAAAATACTAAAGCTGACATTTGTGTTTATTTTGGAATAGGATTCTCTCCAGAACTTAAAATGGTTTAGTTGTTAACAGTTCCATATGATGATGTTGAAAACATACCTGAGTGCATAATACATTCACTAGCTCTCATCCTACATTTACTACTGTGATGCAGTGCAGCTGCAGTGATGTTTAAGCTTTCTAACAGTGTTTGCAGGTAGATAAATGTTATGTGGATGCAACCAGTATTTGGCCAGATGATTTGCTAAGCCTTTTACGTATTTTTTTAGTAACATAAAAAAGAAAAACACAGGCAGTAAGAAAAGCAAAAGAACTGAGGATTCCGGTGCTGACTGGGATGATTCTGATGATGAAGATGAATTCAGTGATCTGGATGATGAGGAGGTCTCCTTAGGAAGCATGGACGAAGAAGACTTTGAGAAGGATATGGATGAAGAGGGAGGTGTATTTATGGATGTGTCTGATGATGATGACAACCTAGGTAAAGTAACATTTAATACCAAAAACAAGAAGAAAAAGTTTTTAAAAGTACATTACCTGATATGTAATTACATGCTTAAATTTAATTACCTAGGTGGGAGGTTTGGCTTTTAAGAAGTGACCAGTCCTTCTCTGGACAATGCAGTATTTAGTCTTAAGAGAAATGAAATTTCTTGCCACAGTCTCCTAGGTGAAAGTGGGCATTAGGCATCTGGGTTCAACAGTTCGCATACAAATCATGCTTTCTTCATTCTGAAAAAAATGGCAGAACAAATGTAGCTTTATAAATAAATAACTGTATGCAAGATGCAAAAGTATTAAAATATTTAAAAGACAAAAGTAATAAAAAATCTATTATCTCTGTAACAATAACTGATTGGTGCACCTTTATGGTTTTATTATCTTTTCAACTAAAAAGCAGTTTACTCAGAATGCGCTTTATGTGGCTGGAAAAGCACAGATTAATGGAGTATTTCAATTGGTGTCTTAAGGTCACAGGAAGACGATTGAAGGTAGAACCAGTAAACTATTTATACAGCTGTTTACACCTTAATCTTTCATGAGATTGTTACTTCATTAGGCTTACCAAGCAGACATTTGAAGTTTACATAATGTTTTAGCCTTCATATTGTTATCTTACTATCATTTTTCCACAGCACAAATATTAAGGAAATAAGTTATGAGGAATGACACACCACTGAACAATTTTTAATTGATAATTCTGTCCATTGTGTTTTAAACTTACAAATTTTTGAAATAAAGACTTGCACTAGACAAATATATCTAAATAGATATTTTATTGGGGAGTGTGCTTTAAATATCATGCATGAATTATGAGAATAAGGAATTGACTTTTTTTTTTTAATTCCCTGACAGACCTTAAGAATGACAGCCAATCAAAGTCTGTCAGTAAAAAGACCAAGAGAAAGAAAGAGATGAATTCTGTGGGATCGCTTGAAGGTAAGGAAACGCTGCCATTATTTCCTTTTAAGAAGACTTAATGCAAATAAGTCTGAAAACTTTGGCTTCAGAGGTGTTCAATACAGTAGATTATCTACACTTTTGGATCTGGCTTCAGATTTGAATAAACTACAGATGAAAACAAATTTTTTCCTTTGTCCTCCAACCAGGGTGGCCTAATTCAGAATGACAATCTGTTCTTGAAGGATTGGGGATTGAAGGAGTTCTATTTGAAGGAAGGATGGAGTTTTTCTGGCAGTTACTCTAGCCTGTGGGGGTGCATTTGATACTGACACATTGCATAGAATTGTGCTATTTAGTTCTGTTTGGATTTTTTTTTCTCCTTTTAAGGGGGTGGTGAGTAAAGATTTCTAACATCTCTTTTAGGTGGTCTTATTAAACAATAGCAATAATTAAAAAAAATACATTTTGTTTAAGTATCATTGTAAATTTGAAATTCTGTCTCATACGAATCATACTTTTTGTTTGTAGGATCCAACAGAGGAAAGAAGAGGAAACTCACAGATGCCAATATGCTGGCATCCGCAGAGGAGGCAAGTTTGATCAGTACTTAAAAAAAAGTGATAAGGTGTTTTACATATTTCTTAATACTAAAATATAAAATTTGTCTTTTTAAAGTTTGGCTATCTGCTGGATGAAAATGCTGGGTCCAAGTTTGACAATATCGGATTGAATGCCATGGCTAACAGAGATAATGCAGGTAAGTACATGCTGTGAAGAGCAGATAGCTGTAAAGCTGCTACTTCTGTTCAGATTCTGTACTTAAAAAGATACACTTCAACTGGGATACATACAAGGTCAGAGAGCACACAATAGGGACAGCCGCTCAAGATCAGTAAGACATGACTTAGTACCAAGCATCTCTCTTGACTGAAAAAAAAAACCTAATATTAACTGTGACTGCTGGAGTGAGTAAGGCTTCAGAAAAGAGAAGCAGGCTATCGTGTGCTCCTTTTACACTGTAAATAAGAAGTGGCAATATGCTGTTACTCAGGCTTTCATGTGAATTCTGCTCTGATAAAGAGTATTCTGGCTCCTTGTCAAGGGAAGACATAGCACAGATATCTTCATTGGAAATATTTCCTTGCTAGATTGGTGAAGAAAAAGTAACTTTCTAGAAATAACTTCAAATTAATACAAATTAAATGTGTACTGCTTTCGGTCCTTTCTTTGTATAACCTTTGTAAAGGCATAAATGTAAATCTTTCTTTGTATAACCTGTACAAGTCTTTGTGGTGTCACCTGAAAAAGTATTAACAGCAACATTCAAGCAGTGCATACTTCCGCAGGAACATTAATAAAATACAAATCAATGGCAAGGGTGGTCTTAAACTTGGAGATTTTGAGATGGTACACATTGTGAAATGGAAAAAAAAATTCTCAGGTGTCAAGTCCAGCAATTTGCACTTTATTAACATTTATAGATAAAGTAGTCAAGTGTAAAGTTCTACGTGATTTATCCATATTCCACATAATGTACAGAAGTATCCATCAGTTTCTCACGTCTCATCTTCCCTCTTACAGATGCCAAACAGATCAAGTGGGAAGTAGAGCGTGACAGGTGGCTCCACAACAGAGATGTGAAAAGCATCATCAAAAGGAAGAAACAGTTCAGGCACAAAGGGCTGAAAAAGAAGTACAAAGGCAAGAAATCAAAAAGATGAACCAAACACCTTAATATGGACATTTTTACAATAGCTGTTCTAAAATAATTATATTTCTTATCCACCTGTTTTTCTTACTTTTAGTTTTTGTTGCTTAACCATGCCATTTGGTCATTCTCCTTTATGCCATGAATTCCAGCCCACTCATTCGATTTGTAATAAACTGAAAAGTAAGAATATATTTGTTAGCTGTAAATTAGAACTGTATAAAGGTGAGTCACTTTATGGCTAGTTTGGTTGGGTGTATAGTCTTCCACTTCTGAGGAAGTCTTCCACCCATTCAACACTCCAGCCACACCTACACATTACAGTAAACACTTCTGCAATCTCTCCTGGGGTCGTTTTAAGCAGTAAGAAAATCTGTTTTATACATGAGATGCAACTGAAGCTTGAGTCATCTTTTCGAAGCAAACTACAAGCCTACCTTCAAGAATTGATGGAAACCTCTTCTGCATTGTGTATCTGAAATCTGACAAGAAAGATAAATTGGTTAATTTACACAGCATATTTCAAGACAAATAATTAAATGCACTATTTTTCTAATTACTTTTTTTTCCTACGTTTGTTCTAGCTCTTTGTTATAGCTGCACTCAAATAGTGTTATCTGATTTTTTTTTTTTTTAATTGTATCACAACTGTACTCAGGTTTCTCCTGTGTGTTTTCTAAGCTTCCTTGTACTGGTGTCAACCAAATACAGGCTATACTTGAAGATGAAGGATGCTCAAAGCAGACACTTAAAGGAATAGCAGGAACCTTACTTTCCCTATATGGCCTTAGGTGTTCACTGAATCGTCCTGCGAGCAGGTGCACTAACCCAACAGAAAACCATGAAATGACAGCTTTATGTCATGTGAATGATTTACAGCAGATCAGGGACAGATCATGAAAATGATAGTATATTAGCATGAAGTGCTGAAAGCCTCCTTCTGCGTGCAGTCAGCTACTGGATGAGCTCAGCCTGCCCTGCAAAACTACACAATAAAGAAAAAGTAGAAGGACGTGTTGGAACTGGGATGGAGTAGTAAGAAGCTGTGGAAGCTGCGACCAACTGGAACTTGAGCAGCTGAGCCCAGCTCCCTGCCTGGCTGCTGGCAGGGGCGAGCTGGTGCCCCCAGCCCCAGCAGTGGCTGCCTGTCCCCGCAGGCTGGCCCGGCTGGCCCCAGGGCAGCAGGCGGACACTGCAGGGCGGATCCCCTCAGCCGGGGGCAGCGCTCTCGCTGCGCACAGGCGCGATGTTCAACCTCCCCGCCGCACCGGCCAACCTCTGCTATTCTCTTTAAAAAATATAAAACCCCGCAGTTGGAACAAGTCCGGCGGCACCGCGCCGCTCTCCCAAGCACCTCGCCCAGCCCCGAGCTGCTCCCCGGCCCCCCGCACCTCGGCTGCTGTCCATGGCGCGGTAGAGCAGTAGGACGCCGCCCAGCGCGGCCGCCTCCAGCACCACCAGCCCCGCCAGCAACCGCCGCCTCATGGCCGCCATCAACGGCCGCCGCGCTCCTCCCCTGGGGGGCGGCCACGTAATGGCGGCCGCGCCCGCCCGCCTCACGGAGAGGGAAGGCGACGAGAAGGCGGCTGGGCAGTGCCTACCCGTGCCAAACCACGCTGGGCTGTGCCGAGCCGATCCGATCCGTGCCTTGCCAAGACACGCCATGCCCGGCTGTAACAATATGTGTCAAACCGTGCTAGGCTGTGTCAACCCATGCTAAGCTGTGCCAAGCCGTGCCAGACAGTGCTGAGCCCTGCTGAGCCGTGCTGAACTGTGCCGAGACGTGCTGAACTGAACTGAGCCATGCCGAGTCGTGTTGTGTTGAGCTGTTCCAATCTGAGCTGTGTCAAAGACCTTGCTGAAGTCTAGGCAGACCACACGGACAGGCTTTCCCTCATCCATCAGCAGGGTCACCCAGTAATAGGAGGAGATGAGGTTGGCCAGGCACTTGGCTTTCATGAACCTAGTGGTCCCACATACATTGCGTGACTGCATTCAAGATGAACTATCCATCACCTTTCCTGTCACCAAGGTCAGACTGACAGACCTGTAGATCCCTGGTTCCTCCTTACGACCCTTCTTACAGATGAGTCAGCAAATCTCCAGTCATCCAGGACCTCTGTGGATGACCATGACCGCTGATAGGTGATGGAGAGCGGCCCAGCAATCACATCTACCAAAATGGTAGCATCACTTCCCCCTCGGTGGTGTTCTTTTTGTTCTGTGGTTTTGATTTCATTGTTTTCTTTTCTTGATTCATGGTATGGAGATGAGTTTATTGTCAAAATCTCTCGGGACTTTTATTACTAAGGACTTTCCTGTGAGGCTCTTTTTTCCTATTAATGTTATTTAAGATTAGTTTTAATACCTTGCTGCTATTACAGGGCAATTCTTTTCCAATTCTGTTCTCCCTGGTGGCCAAGCTTGCTAGTATTACTTGCTCGCAGTGGGATTTAGTACTAAAGTAATTCCTTCTCTGTAGATGATAAATGGGCAAGATCAACCCAGTTTCTGTTTCCAGAAAGGTGGGAAGGGGAAGAGAAAGAAATGTATCAAATTCTAAAGGTTTTTCAGGAGTAGAGGCAGAGGCAGAAATAATGCCAAGTATTTCTACTCCACCCCTTAAAAATGCCTATTTAAAGGCACTTAACTGCATTAGACCAGCAGTTTCAATCCCCAGCAAAAGGTGATAAGCATGGCTGAGGAAAGGAAAGCCTTTGTTGATGAAATAAATAAAGCACTGGCCAAGTCCGAAGGCCTTTCCCTGAAGGATCTGCTGTTCTCCTACCGGGGGACTCCTTATCCTGTGACAGTGTGCAGTGCGGAGACCTTCCAAGCCCTGGAGAACCTGGAAGCCAGAAGGGACGATCTGGTGCTGGTGTCTTACCCCAAATGTGGTGAATACATTATAGATTACTCACTGTAGTCTGTGATACTGTAACTAATTAGCTGGCACCATGAGGAGGAAAATAACCAACAGAGGATGGTTTTACATTGTGGGGGGATATTGGGCACGTGTAGTACAACCAGAGGCAGCAGGTTTTTGTGCTCATTGTCTCTGTTATGTAGTCTGGTCTACTGTTTTTTAATATGGTTTATGTTTCTGAAGAGATAATATGTTTTAGCATTCACAACTATTTTTGGCTGAAGAAGTGGGAATAAAGTATGTAGTTATTATGTATCAGTGGGGCAAGATACCTCTGGCAGCATGATAAACTGCATTCTGAAAAGTGTGTTAGTAATGTAATGCAGTGTAATGTACAAAAGCAATACAGTTATGCAGTAGACTCCTTATAAGAAGCAGAAAGCAGCAGGGCACGGCATCTTGCAAAATTGAAGCAGCTTCTTAGCATTATCCTTATATTCAGTATTGCTATTGGTTTTTGTTTGGTGATTGCAAAAATGATAGGCTGTGACATAGTGTGATTTGAAATCTTGTAGTCAGAGGTCTGCAGAAAGGATGAAAGAAGGATGAAAGGTGCAATAGGAGCTTTGGGGGGGAGGGCGGGGGAACACAACAAAAACAATAGCCAACCAACCAGCTGATTTTGATCAGTGTTATAAATGTCTTGTGTGAGATGGTTGCTTATAGGAAAGGGATGGGTTTTGTCAATCTAGGAAATCATTTCCAAGTGTTTCTGCCTTGAGACCCAAGCAGCAGAAACATAGGGTTGTCAGAGAAAATGTGGGTCCAGGAAAGGATTTCAGTGCAATAACATGGTAGCTGATGCACTCAAGTTGGTCTCTGATCAGGGGGCCCTTAACCAAGGTCTCATCCAGCAAGGTGAAGAGCACATACTGTTCCTGTGGTTTTGGCTTGGTAAGTTCTGATCTGGAAAGAAACTGTTGCATATTTAGGGGCTTAAGAAGTAAGCTTGTAGTGTTTAGGGTAAATATACGGCAGCTGTGAGACAAAACACTGAGCCAAGAGAAAGAGAGGGCAAATACAGAAGAAGGGAGCTGATGTAAAATGTGAAATATGTATCTTTGTTGTAAGGAACCTTTATTTCTGCTGGTTTTGAGTCCAGGGTTTTTGCTGGACTGTATAAGGACAGGCCATTGACAAAGCTTGGCACCACAGCTTTGTCTCTCGGGGCTTTAACAGTGTCCTCATTCCTTTTAATTATTGAGGACTATGAAGGTTAAGTTACAGTGAAGTCTCGCTGTATGAAATGTTTCCTTCAACTCAGGTGTGTGCAGTGGAGAGGAAAGCTCTGACTGATGCAGAGACACATTGATGAGGTGGGGCTGCAGGCTGACGGAGCTCCTGGATGCCAAGCTTCCCAGGGACAGGTCGTGCATTGAGAAGCCAAGATGGGATTTAGAGACTAAGACTTTTAGGTTTATCAGCTGTAGCTTTTGTTTAAAATAAAATCAGTGTTTGTGCACATGCAGTTAACACTGGGCAGATGGAGACATGGATTATAGAGACTTTTAATGCTTTTGGCATTGGTCTTTATGTAAAAGGGAGATTGATATAAATTATATACATCACAAAATGTCTTACATATAAATCTTATGGTATTTGGTGGTATATAAATAAATTCAGGTGTATTATAAGACATTGCATGCTGTGTACGCATTGCACACACATTACTGTATGAATAGGACACAGTCCTGAGCCACTTTATGTAACATCGGGTGGAAGAGCTCCTTTCTGAGAATAACTTTCAGCTGCATGCGTGAGCTTAACGCTGTTTGCATCCTGTGTTCCCTGTTAGTGCCTCTGGCAGCTGCGTTCACAGGGGACTAACAGCATGCCGGAGGCTGAGGCAGCTCCGCAGCTCCATCCCCGTGGCCCCAGCGGGAAGCCTTCCAAGTCCCTCTGCAAGGACGTGGGGAGGGTGCCACACGCGCGGTGAACACGCCGTTCCCTCGCTCTGTCCCACCAGCAGTTGGTGGGGCATCCACAGAGTGAGGTCCCTGGGAAGCTGAGGAAAGCAGGCAGCACAAAGCAGCCGCAGGAGGGCATGGAGCTGGCCATGGAGGTGTGCTGCCCCAGCACAGCTGGTGACCGGACAGCCACGTGTGGGGAGGCTTCGCCACGAGATCCTTCCCAAAGGGTCTGGTGGGTGGCAGCTCCTCCGGCATTCTTCTGGCGTGCACTTTATGGAGACAACAACAGGCACAACTGGGGTGGTGGCATTGCATTGATGACTCTTTCATCCTTGACCCAGTGCAAGGAGGGAGGGACAGACACTCCTCCATTGCAGAATGAGCAAAACTCCTTGCTCACTCCTTCCTTCTCCTACCAAGATCCTTCCCAAGTGTTTCTCCATAAAAGTCAGGCAAGCTCCCTTTATTGTCTGTCACAGATTGCTTTATGACTATATTAAAAAGATACTGAGTGCATCATTAAGTCAGTTCTACCCCCAGTGCTTTCCACATATCAATCGTAAGTGAGCCAAGAAGGTCACAGCTAAGAAGCCATTGAGGATCTCATTAACTGAAAACATTATTTTGTTTATAATCTTTTGAGAGCTTTAGTATTATCTGTAATTTGATGACTGTCTATTATGCTGAATTAAGCCATGTAATGAGAAGGCTTTGAGATCTTATATAAGGCTTTTTATTTTGTTCTCTGGGTTTCTTGGTCCAGGTGCGAACTGGCTTATCCAGATTTTAAATGACTTGATATTCACCACCATCCAGACTAAACCTGTAAGCACAGAACTACCATTTATTGAATGTGGAGATCCAGATAAATACCAGGTTAGTGAAAAGAACCTACTGAACCACTTAAAGTCTCTTGTTTTCTTTCTCTCCCGCACCCCCGCATGCAAGTTATTAAAATGAAGTCATGCAGCAAGTAAAGATATTTCTCCCAAGAGGGGAAAAAGGATAATCTTGGATGACTAATGCCTTTTGATTAGGTTCTGCTTCACACTGGCAACTCTCACAGATCACTGCTGCACTCATGTAATAAGCCTGTTCTCACTTATTGTTCTGTTTATTTCTAAAGAGGATGAAGCAGATTCCATCCCCAAGGATTTTGGCAACGCATCTGAATTATGATTGCCTCCCCAAGTCTATTTTCAAGAACAAAGCCAAGGTGGGCTTTTTTTTTTTCTCTCTCTGCAAGAACAAGCCTAATTTTTCTGACGGTACCAACATGCAAGAATAATTCTCTGACTGCATCCTTTTCTTGCACCCATGCAGGTGGCATTGAGGAAAAGCAGCTTGGAGACAGTGGGAATCTCACTAGTCCTGGGCTGGCTTAGCACCTGCTGTAATACAGTAACCCTAGGGGTGCATAAACAAGAACAGATCTAGAGGCTGTGAGAGTGCTCAGAAATGGCAGGGGTGTCATGCTTTTCTTTCTTATGCTGCTCTTTTCTGTGTAAAACAATGGTTGTGGATGGGAATGAAGGTGGCAGCAGTATCTCTGGGACACTGACTGTCTCCATGCAGAGCCATGCTGTTAAAACTTCAATATTTCTGGTTCTCAGTCACTGAGCAATGGCAGGTACATAGCATTTAGGAGATGTACCACAGAGGAAGGGAGGAGTTGGTTAAGGAATGAGGGTTTTATCCTTGTTCCATTAATATTTTTCCCTGTTTTATGTATAACATGTTTTCAGAAGTGTTTACACTTCTCTGAGGATTGCTGCCTCATAGGATTTCAAGTACATTATTGCCATGCTTTGAAAAATGGGATATAAATGTAGCAGCTGTGGTTTCCTGAAGGAGAATCAAACAGATTTTTGTAGCAAGGGGCTGGCAAATGTTTCCTTGCTATTTCCCAGGTCTTAGGTAGTTATGGGATAGTACTCTCTGACAATATTACATTTTTTTCCAGTTGTTCCTTTCTACAATTGCTCCATAACATAAGCAAATCTTAAAAGTGATAAGTGGTCTTTATTATGACCACATTATACATTTATTCTCAATGCCTTACCTAATAGTGAAAATATTCTGTAGCCTCCAGTAAGTTATTGATTGCAGAATGTTTGGTTATACTTTCATTTTGGTTGCCAGGGGAAATATGTCACCTACAACTGTTGACCTCTTTCTCCTACTCCAGATACTAGTGCTGTTTCGAAACCCTAAAGATACAGCTGTTTCATTTTTCCATTTCCACAACAATGTGCCAAGCGTCCCCAGTTACAGCTCTTGGGATGAGTTCTTCTCCGAGTTCATGAATGGAAAAGGTATTGCTATAGTTACTGAATGTAGCTGAAGGAGGAACAGAAGAAAATATTTAAAAACAACTAAATGGGACCAGTGGGAAAACATCTGTCTCATAATTAGCTTACTGGTGGCCATACCTCATGATAAAGGAGGCAGCTGAATGCCAGAATGGGGAGAAAGTCCAAAATATACTTTGCTTCTGGGTATTTTGCTCTTCCATGCAAGTGTGCGGGAGTCTCCTGGAAGCTTGATAACGGTATTGGGCTGAAATTATGTCACCAAGTGATGGAGGAAATGCTACAGATCTGAAATAGTAATGGAATGACAGTTTGTTGTCTTTGCTGTTTCCATGTAGGAGGCCAAACACCTCATAAGCAACCCAAATTTTAGATTTAGACTGATGTCTAACTTTGGCTTTTAAGAGTTATCTTTAATGACAATATAGAAATGGAGGGGAAGCACGGAGGAAATTCATATTTCTGTGCAGAAGCCACTTAAATTTACATTACACTTACAAAAGTCCAGTGGAAGTCTCCATCATTCTGTTGTACAGCAAGGTACCGCAGAACAGACAGGCTGTTCTGTTTGCTTGCGTAGATGTAACTGATGGGTAACAGAAGGTGGTTCTTCAGTTAGAGAGAAATAAGTACCCAGTGATAAAAGAAGGTCACACTGATGTTTTTTTTGCTTCTTCACAGTTGGCTGGGGATCTTATTTTGACCATGCAGTCACCTGGAACAAACACATTGAGGATGAGAATACCATGATCATAACATATGAAGACCTGAAAGAGGTAAAGCAGGCACTGTACTGACAGGCAAAACAGATCTGAGTCTGTTCCCTGAAAAATTGCTGAAATTAAAAGCAATAGGCACAGGTTCCTAAAAGAGCAACACCAAGTATCTGTTTAGGAACAAGTTGAGTCTGGCTATATGAAAGCAGAGCTCCAATATGATGTAGAAGACATACTGTGAAGGAAGATATTGTTTGTAGATGATAGCTATACACATCCCAAGTGGGTAGCTCCTTTGTCAGAGGAAGCAAATTATATGACTCCCCTTTCACTGCATTGTTTTCAGAACCTGACTTCTGGTGTAAAGCAGATAGCTGAATTCTTTGGATTCTCCCCAGCGGCAGAGCAGATCCAGTCTATTGTGGACAGGGCCACTTTCCAGGCAATGAAGGACAAGGCTCAAGAAACTCATGGTGCTGTTGGCTCAGTTCTTTTCCGCAAAGGTAAATTTGTTTACAGCAAACAAACAGCGTATTTTGCAAGGTTGGTGAACGGTAGCACTGCAGTTTGGGCAGACAGGAATTTGGATCAGTAGATCCTTAATCTTTGTGCATAATTTTCAGGGCTAGAAGTTAAGGAACATTGACTGTGCTTCAGGATGCTATCACTTGATTTCATCACAAGGGCCAAAGTTATTCAGTAAAGCCCTGTATAATGTGATTAGCAGAAGTGCCCTACATGTAGCACAACCTCCAGTCATGGTATGCAGTGAGCACCAACTAAAACAGAGAAGAGTCTTATTTTGGCTTCTGTGAGTACTGGAGGTATCCTGGACAAAGTGCTTCCACAGATTTTTCTTGGATTTTCTAAGTAACCCTTGGTATTGCGTAGAAACCTCACTCAGCACGTTGAATCCAGACACTGCACAGGTTGAGCTGTATCTTTTAGCCATGAATCAGGCTAGAGCTGCAGACTCAGAAAACCTCAGGCCATGGACTCTCCAAAACTGGATCAGAAGTAGACTGCAGCTTAGGGCAATGTCTGGTTACAGCACACAAAGCTCTTGCTGTTACAAGTGACATCTTTGAATGTTCAGAGTTCTTTTCACGTCTGCTGGTTTTGTTGCTAGTACTCTGCAGCTGCACAAAGCAGACCAGTAGCTTCCTATGTCCCCTTTATGTTCATATTCTGTTGAGGACATCAAAAGTAAAGCAGCAGAATATATTCTTGGGTCATAGACTCTTTTTTTTTTTAAATTTAATTTTTGTTGTTTTTGTTGTTCTTAAAAGAAGAAAAGTGAAAGAAGGAAAAGAAGAAAGAAGAAAATCCTGAAAGAAGATGAGACGGGATTTTTTTGTTTGTTTTGTTTTAAATCATACTCCTTGTTCCTTACTGTCAAGGGTATTATTTTACTTTTCTTTATGTTCCAGGTGTTGTTGGAGACTGGAAAAATCTTTTCACTGAAGCTCAGAACAAGGAAATGGATGCCAAATTCAAAGTGTGCTTAGAAGGAACCAAGCTGGGAGCAAAGTTAAAATATGATGTGTACTGCAAGGCCTGAGAATCTATAGAATAATCTTGTGTCCAGACAGCTTTTCATTCACTTTTATGAAATCAAAGAGAAATCAGAACAATACTTGATTTGAAACTTTTGTGTATCTGTGCAATTGCAAGCCTGTTCGTGCTGTCTTGCACAAGCAACCCTCACTCATACAGTTAGTATATTGACTGTACCAGCTTCTCTTAAATGACCTGTGGTTCTTTGGCTTCACTTGTTTTTTAAAACTGATTTTTGTCATGATTTCATGTTACTTAGTAGAATCCCGCGTGAAATATATATGTAGTATTTGAACATGCTGAAATCACTGGGAATATATTCAGTATGTCAGAAGTGATTTTCCAAGAGATTTTTTAAAATAATAGTGATGTTTCTTGATTTTTAGATTTGGAAGTTCATAATATTTCAATTTAAAGTGAAATTTCAAAAAGTTTTGTTGGGTTTTGCCACTTTCTGTGTGTAAATAAATGTGAGAAAAAAAATAAAGGAACTCAGGTAGAAACTGACTCCCCCTTTCACCACAAATATTTATCTTTCTTTTGGTAGTGTGAGATCTCATCCTGAGCAATTGAAGGAATAGGGAACTTGGACATGGAGGTTGGAGTCCACCTTCTGGTGGTGGCTTGTTTTGCTGCTCACCCAGGGGAGAAATTGGGAACATGTTGAGAATATCTGGTTTTGTACATGTGATTGTCAGGAGGACTCTGGAGCACTCCAGAGAAATCATTTTGGATGTTAAGGAGGTGAATGAAAAAGTTCCTGTCTGGTAGGAATGTGAGTAAGTGACTTCTTCACAGCATCAAGGCAGGAGGGTCAGTAACCATTTGGTTTGCTTGGTGGAAGAAGGGTCTTTTTAGATATGAGAAAAGGAAGTGTGCTACTTGCATAACACTGGAAATACTTTGCATGATTGTCTAGGTTTGCCTAGGTTACTTTATGTCTGTAGATGTGAATTTGCTTTTGAAATCTACAGCTGTGATAACAACCATTTAAAATCAATAAACCAAAACTGGGGTACCCGTGAGGATTGCAGAGCAAAACAGAACATACCAAACCAAACCAGAATGAAGTGGGTTAATACCAAATGAGCAAAAGTTTAAAGTTGATGAAGCTTCCCAAACAAATCCAAGGTTCCATGTAAGTCCTTTGTAGATGCTGGGGGGGGAAGCAGTTGTATTTGTCATGTATTTGCCTGAGGTGTAATAGGCCCTGCTGGAGCAGTAGGTTAATGTCACTGCTAAGCAGTTAACAGAAGGAAGTTCAAAGGATTCTGGTTGAGGATAATGTTGAAAAGGGAGCACTATTCCCTAGTAAAGTAGGTTGCCTGAACTACTAGATTAGTAACAGCCAGCCTATCTGTTTAAACTGCCATCTTTCTCTATTTAAGATTTTCATGAAGTATCCCAGGGCAGCTCAAGAGGAAATCCCATCTCAAGATGCTAAATAGACTACTCTTAAATTATTACACTCTTGGACCAGCAAGGTTATTTAAGCTAAGGTCGCTTAGCCATCTGAGGGAATATTTTATAGATGGCATTCTTATGTTCTTTCAGTCTGAGTTGCAGACTCTTCTCAGTATGTATTCACATATTCATTAATTACCGTCTCTTAAAAGAGCATTAAAGAACAGTGAGTAGAAGACTATTGAGTGTGAGGGGCAGCTAATTTGTTTGCAGCTTTCTGTGTGTTTTAGGTTCTGTTCTGTTAAAAATGATGCGGTAGGAAGACACAGAAGAAAGGTAAATGTCATTGGAGAAAGGGAAAATTTGTACCTCCCTCAAACACATTCAGGATAGAAAAGCACAGAAACATTTTCGGATGGTGCTATTGAAGGTCAAATTCAGTGGCCCAGAGTGCTTATGGCTTTTAACAGCAGCTAAACAAAAACAAAACAAAACACAAACCCAACAGAAAAATTGAACTCCATACTGTGGAAAATCACTAGGCACACATATATTCTTTCAGCCATACATATAGACAGCAATTTTGGTTTTATATTTTCCATTTATATTTTTTATTTTATAAATGTTTTCCCTTTTATACTTTTTATTATGGTACTCAGCAGTAAAACTTTAAGTGGTATTTTTGACAAACAGCATTTAAAGAATGTCAGATCATCTACCTTTCAAAGAAGAGATATTTTCACTCCCTAACTACAGTTTTTGATTTTTTTTTTTTCTGTATTGGTGACCTTTTTCACACTTACTATTTTTTAGCAGTTGTAAGCATTTATGATATCTATATTATGGTAACTGCTAAGCGCTAATCTATTAGTATTTTTGTCACCTCCATTTCCCATATGGGCTGCTCGATAACAATCATAAAGCAGGAAAGTATATTAAAATGATATTGCAAAACAGAAATTGGAGGTCTTCTTGGAAAAGAGAAGCATAAACGTATCTTTTGCATGCAAGAGATGGCTCCCTTGCGTGTGTTCAGGGTGTCAATAACCCAGCCAAAAAGGAAAAGAATTCTGGTACTGAGTTGTAATAAAGGTAAAATGGGATCAAAGCAGACAGAACTGAGCTCAATTTTCTCATTTACAAAATGCACGCATTTTATATTGCAGCATTATGCAGTACATTAATTGGAAAGATAATTAATGCTGAATTACAGTGGAAGTGCTCTAAAAGTACAAGGCATGTATGACATCCACAGGAACATCAAATAATTCTTTTCTGTGGGTAGACTGGTTATTAGACTGGATGCCAAATGGATTTATAATGAAGGGGGATGTGAGACAGTCATACCAATCTTGTTATAATAGCAAATGCCTGGACTTGTATTCTAATGTTGTTTCTTTAGGAAAAGCCCTAACACTGATCTGAATTTTGTCTGAACGATCACCTTTGGTGATTAGCACCTTCTGTTCTGCTCTTAACACACTGCAGAGCTTGGCAACATACACTGATGGTGTTGAAATGAGACTGATCAGTGGTTGTTCTGAATGTTGATATTGTCAGGACTGATGCAAAGGAGAGAAATAGGAAACAACATTATGAATGCAAGCATACTGTATCAGTGCTATGTCTAGCACATTGCTAAGGCACCCTGGTAAAATGTTATTTACCTTGTTTTTGGTAAAAGAATACAGTTGTCACGACTTGCTGTCACACTTTGGATAATATGACATAATTGCTGATAAAATAGTGTATAGATGTTTAGTATTGGCACAGTTTAAGTTGTAGCCTGTTACTTCAGTCAGCCATAACCTGTTTGTTTTGGCTGTGTTAGAAAGGTTCTTGAAGACCAGATCTTGTGGGTCCAAGTTAAATGACGGAGCAGGTAATGAAGTGACGATACTGAGCCTTTGCTCTCCCTGCTTTCCTTACAAAGCTGTTCAGATGCTAGAAGAAGAGCATGGTAGGGAGGTCAGGGCAAGGGCCCACCATCCTGTGTGTTTGGTCTTCTCATGCCAGGTGTTTGGCATCACCACCCAGCTTTGCAGCCAAGCGAGAGGCAGCTGGTGTTGGGAATGGCCTGAGTACTAACTTCCCTTCTCCCAGCTTCACAGAAACATAACCAGTAGAAATGTGTAGGTGTTGTGCTTAGTCTTACAAATACTCAGTTCGCATCTGAATGGAATGTTTTTCATAAGAACATTTGGCTTCTGCAAAACCTTCAGAAGCTTGAGGAAGATAGAAAATTATTCTTTGACTATGCTCAAAATATGAGGCAGTCAGGAAATGAAAGGAGGCTGTGAAACTACTGTCTTGGGAGGGTTGTGTACTTGTGAATAGTATAAGCTTATTGACATATGCCTGTTGGTCTCCAGTGAGTTCCCTGCTGCTTTGCATTTACAAGCCAATGAAGCTGTTTTCATTACTACAACACTCATTAGCGTTCCCCCAGCAGGTAAATAAGTCATAGTTTCATTATTGTGTATTTCTGCTATATCTGTAGGCAAAATATTTATATCCGGAGGAAAAAATTAAATATGAGATAATCTTAGACCTTGGCCATGTCCCACCAAAAGTAAAATAAAAAGCCCTACCAAACAACAACAGAGAAACTACCAAAACCAGCTAACCCCCCAAATGGGACGCTTACAGCCTTCCTTCTTCATGGCTTTTGTCAAGGCACAGACAGTGTCTGAAACAGTTTCTGCAGATTTCCAGACCACACTTTACTTTTGTCCTTTGTGTAAGTATTTTCTGCCACTGTACATTTTTCATTTTTCAATGCAGTCCACCCTCTTTTTTCCTGATGGCATGGAATTATTATTGTTTTCTGGCTGTTACTTGTTCAGAGAACTGTTTCCTTTTCTTATATATATATATACATATTTGTTTTTCCTTTTCTGGTGAGCCGCTGGGTTTGTCTTGCCTTGTAACTTGCGAGCTCCTGTGCCTTTGGTATCAGACGCAGGGCAGCCAGTTATGCATCGCTGTGGAAACTTTACCGAAATGTTTCCGTACCGACAGCATCCAAATAGCCACCTCACATGGCGAGGCCGTAAGGAGGTGCCCTGGCTCAGGTGGCTGGGGTGTTGCTCGGTGAAGTCTGCCTCCGCTAAGGTAGCATTGAACAGTTGGCTAGAACTTTCTTATGAAGGGATTTAAGAGGAGGGGAAGTTAATTGGAGTAGGAAAAAGAGTAGCGGTGGAGATTGGGTTTCCCTGCACCTAACCTGCCCTGAAGTGGGGTGGGGAGCTAAGCAGTGCCACCTCCAACGTGAGCCCTGAAGCCCTCACTGCCCCAAGGGAAGGTTGTGGAGGGAAAAAAACATTCACTTCTCCTCAGGAAAAGTGGAAAAGTGGGGCCTTTTGTGGGGGAGAAGTGGAGGACAGCAGCCAGAGCCCAGGTGTGTGCAGGGCAAGGGTCGAGCTTATGGCTAGCATTAACGCCAGCGGTATGCATGGCCTGTGGAGAAATTGTTCAAATTTTCTCTTCTGGGCTGACACTACATGGTCTACTCTTAAAGGTGAGATAAATTGTTCTTTGTCTAAAAATATGTTCAGCTCTGAGCCCAATAGTGGGGCAAATATGAAGGAATCAGTTCCCCTCTAGGTGACCCAGGCCTGTTGTGCAGGCTCAGGTGTGAACGGTCACGGGATGGTGGTGGTGGGGGTGGACCTGTCCCCCCACCTGCAGCTCTGCCGGCTGTATGTGTGCCATGGGTGTCTTCCCCACACTGCCAGAGGTCACCACGCAGGGCAAAAAGCCTTTCAAAAGCTACCTGTGGAGTGATGCCAGTGGGAAATGCGTGCACATTGCAGAACGTCAGCAGAGAAATGAATGTGTACAGGCGTTGTGGTTTGTTCAGTCTTCCCGTTGTCATACCACGGAGAGTAATGCTCAGGGTGGAGGGGTAAACAAGGCAATAAACAATCTTCTGCAGTTATCAAATGTGAGTTTCTCTGTGGCATTTAATTGCTTTTGCAAGGCATTTTATGCCTCTCTGGCCCCTGTGCCCTGGCTATTGCCATTTTAAATAAGCAATCTGAAGCACAGGAGACAGAGTGTACATTTTCTACGTGAGTGATTTCAAAGTTTCAGTGCAATGTGGGATGGGTCCTCCAGGGCTCTTTCTCATTGCGTTTTTCACTGACAATGTTTTAAATAGTTTACAGAATAGGGCCATACAAGTGCTTTGTCCACAAATGAATTGTGTGCTGAAAGCCCAAGGGCAAAGGAAGAGATGAAAAATGCATTAATATGGAAAGACAACTATGTAATGCAGTGGAATAGGTATCATTATTAACTGTTGTAAATACAAAGCTATTTGCCAGCATGACAGACTTTCCAGAATAGCAATAATGGAAGCAATGGTAGTTTGTTTCAGAAGGAAAACTGT